TCATCATAGATAATTTATATCACATGCTGCTACATCAGATATGTTGAACCTGAGATGGGGTACAGTGAAAAGTTGGATTTCTGGATTGGCCCTTAACAATCTGGAGACTGCAAAATCTAGAGTTAGACAGACTCTGGGGATTCCAATTTCAGGTATTCAGTAGATTGTAGAGGTGGAGTTTTCTGTCCTGTCTGACTGATTATACCCAGCAGTCACTTCACAAATTACCACGTAGAGGCTTGTATTAATTATAAATCCCTGGTTGATGGCTCAGGCTTATTACTAACTAGCTCTTACATTTTAATAAACCCATTTCTCTTGATCTATGTACCACCACATGGCCTATGACTTACCAGTTCTCTGGCATCTTGGGTCATGGGCAGCTGACTGGCATCTCCAGACTCCACCCTTCCTTCTCCGTTATGTGTTTGACTTTCCCACCCAGCCTTATTCTGCCTGGCTATAGGCCAATCCAGCTTTTATTATTAACCAATGAGAGCAACACACATTCACAGCAAAGAGAAGGATCCTCCTACAGCATTTCCCACTTTCTGTCTAATAAAAAAGGAAGGCTTTAACTTTAATATAGTAAAGTTACAGATAACAAAATAGTCATTGAGCAAGAATTACAGTTACAATATCTAGTCTTTGTATTTGACAAAAGCAGAGAAAACATTCAATTATCTATCCTATCTTGGTGAGTCTAAAGTTTTATATCTAATTTACTCTTTATCATAATTAAGGAAACAATAACTATTCAGTCTTCAACTCCATCAAAGACCAGAGAAGAAAATAATAATATCTGAGTAAGCAGGAAGTACAAGCAAGCAACTTCCAAAAAATGTAAGAAATGACAGAAACAGCTGTCTGCCTGGACAGTCACCCAAGTTTCCTCTGTAACATCAGGACATGCAATTTTGGCCTACAGGCCTAGCATATTTGACAGACTTTCTTGTGATGCAGGAAAAATTTAAGAACTGTCTTACCTTGTCTTGGCAAGGTTTGGCAGTCACCTTTCTTGCATCCTGCTGATCCAATCTGGCCAATAACTATCATTAATTGAGGCAAGGGCAGGTTCTTTGCCAACATGGATAGCTTTTGTCATAAAGAAAACAAACCCCATACAGATTTTCTTCGATGCCCATCATCTTTTTGGAGTACATTGATGCTGCCAGGAGCAGATGTGTCTCACTGTTATTAAAACATTTTAAATGCCATATTCTGTAGGTCTTTGAAGTATTTGAAGATTATCTATCTGAAATATATCTTTGTATACCTAGGAAACCTAAGATGAGTATAAGTTTGATTATTATAGATGACTATTAATCTGTATTTTTAAATTATACATTACATTTTTATTTTTTAAAAATATTTATTTATTAATTATGTATATAGTGTTTTGCCTGCATGTCAGAATAGGGCATCAAATCTCATTATAGATGGTTGTGAGTCACCATGTGGTTGCTGGGAATTGAACTCAGGACCTCTGGAAGAGCTGTCAGTGCTCTTAACCTCTCAGCCATCTCTCCAGCTCTACATTACATTTCTAACTGAGCTGCATAAACATAATACCTTTAAAAGGAGTAGAAATATACATAGAGTATGACAAAATTGACTTAAATATTTTGAGATTAATAGTTGTTTTTTGGGTTAAAGTAGATTCAATAATCTACCCCTTTTCCATCATTTTTATATCGTATTCCCCTTTCTTCTTTAGAAAGAGATTGAATATGACCAATAACAATTTATAACCAGCCCCTTTAAATGAAAACAAACATTCATAAACAATATTTTGAGAATTTGGATGTAGTTCTCTAGACTACTTTCTGCTGATTGGGCACATTGGTAATCTTATGGGGAACCTCAGAAAATTTGGAATTATGGTCAAGTCCTGACTGGAGTATTTTGTGAGGTTGATCCATCTCAGCCAGCAGCCTTGAAGCTGCTTTGGCTGCAGAACTCAGAGGAAATTGTAGCAGAGGTATATTGAAACAGTGGATCATCTGGACCATCTGCTTTTATTGGTGTCTAGTCCCCTTGTTCTGAAAATATATAAAACTCTGTATTAATATAAATATAAACTGTGTATTATAAACAAGCCAGCCAAAGATAATTTTTTGTTTTATGTTTGAGCAGGTAAAATATACATCACATGTCTTGTACTTACTTTAGATTTATTTTCTATGTCTCTAGTCAGGATTTTCAGCGAGTCTCCCTCAATCAAACCTGATTTTTCTTACCTGAAATGAATCCATATCCTTTTCTTTTCTGTGGACATAAAAGCAGAACCTCTTTCCCAAAGTAACATATCTAATTTAGCAGCTTTTATAATCAAATGTCTTTTACCAGTTATCTCATTAACAGTCAAAAAATCCAAAGAAAACACAATAAAATATAAAGTCCAGACTCTGTGTATTTCCCATTTTAACATGGCCTATATGTTTTTATTACTCTAGTTCTTTCGTAAGGACTTTGCTATCATTTAATCTACCCCCTTTCTTCTCTCTCCCAGGCCTACCCATTTTTTTAAACATTCCTTAATGCATTTACAGGCCTTTTTGTCTGAATTTGGTTTTACTGTGTATATTTAACCCTTTTTGTCAGTGTGAGTGCAAGTCTTAAACCCACTTCAGGCTCTGTATCATGACCTGTTTGTGACTACAAGAATCCACCATGTTGCAGCTCGAGTTGCATGCCACCACAGAGGCCAGGGGACTTGTCTTTGTACTGTGGCCTGCATGAAAGACATGAAGTATGAAGCTGCTCTTGGCTCTGTTTTTGTGTATCTAGAACCCTTATTTTTAAACTTTCTCAGGCTTTATGTAGATGTATGTGTGGCATGTTGGAGTGCCATATGTAAATGGAGGTGGAGCTTTCTGTCCTATCTGCCCAATTATACCCAGCAGTTGTTTCCCAAATTACCACACAGAGGCTTATATTAATTATAAATGCTTAACCACTGGCTCAAGCTTATTACTAACTAGCTCTTACATTATAATTAACCCATTTCTCATGATCTATATATTGCCATGTGGCCCATGGCTTACCAGTTCTCTGGTATCTTGTTTCATGGGCAGCTGGCTGGTGTCTCCTGACTCCATTCTTACTTCTCCCTCTCTCTCTATTTCACTTTCCCACCCAGCCTTATTCTGTCTGGCTATAGGTCATATGAGCTGTTATTATCTATCAATGAGAGTTACACACATTCACATCATACAGAATGATCCTCCCAAAGCAATGGTTCATATCCCCTCTGCTTGATGACCTTGAGATCATTAACCTAATTCACAACAGATTTCCAGTGTTTGATGAGAACCATAAGCCTAAGTGACCCTTGACACACATGCCACCATATTTGGGCTTCTCTCCTCTTTTCTTAGATCTAGACCTTGCTTAAGTCTCCATAGCACCAGAACCTCTTCTCATAAATACCAGAACCTCTTCTCAGAAATCAGGTGACTGAGCTGCAGTTAGGCAATTAGGCAGTTAGGCAAGAGTAGATAGATAACTCCCAGAGCTACATTCCCTGCTAGCTGAACAACCCATGATTAAAGTCCCCTCCCTGCTTACATCCCCCTTTGCCCCTGCCTATATATGCCTTAAGAGGAAAATAAAATTTTGAAGCTTGATCACATATCCTGTCTTGCTCTCATTCTTTGTGTCTCTTGTCCCTCTCATTCACCAGCCCTCCCTTCAGGTCCGGGGCAAGTGTTATGGCAAAAATAAAGAGAACTGCAAATCAATTTCCCTCATGAACATAGATGCATAAATACTCAATAAAATACTTGCAAACAGATTCCAAGAACACATCAAAAAGATCATCCAAAGTGATAGAGTAGGCATCATCCCAGAGAGGCAGTAATGGTTCAACATATAAAAATAAGTAAATGTAATCCACCATAAATATAAACTAAAAAAACAAAAATAAAAAAAACCCCACAGTATAATACCATTAGATGCTGAAAAAAAATTTGAAAAAATCATACATCATAAAAGTCTTGGAGAGGTTAGGGATACAAGGTACATATATAAACATAATAAAGGAAATTTAGGACAAGCCTATAGCTAACAACACATTAAATAGAGAGAAGCTCAAAGTAATTCCATTAAAATCTGGAACAAGACAAGGCTGTGAACTCTCTATATATCTACTCAATATAGTACTTGAAGTTCTAGATAGACCAATAAAACAACTGAAGGACAACAATGGGATATAATTTGGAAAGGAAGAAGTCAGAGTATTGCTATTTGTAGATGATATGATAGTATATGTAAGCGACCATAAAAATTAGACAAGGGAACCATAGCTGATAAAAAATTTCAGCAAAGTGGCTGGATACAAGAGTAACTCAAATATATCAGTAGCCCTCCTATATAGAAATAATAAACTGACTGAAAAAGAAATAAGGGAAACACACACAATACCCTCAAATAATACAAAATATGTTTGAGTAACTCTAACAAAGCAAGTGAAGTACTTGTATGATGAAAACTTCAAGTATTTGAAGAAAGAAATTGAAGAAGATATCAGGAGATGGAAAGATTTCCCAGGCTCATGGATCAGTAGGATTAACACAGTAAAAAGGCCATCCTACCAACAGCAATCTAAAGATTCAGCACAATTTCCATCAAAATTCCCACACATTTGTTTGAAGATCTTGAAAGGACTGCTTGCAGCTTCATATGAATAACAAAAAGCAAGATAGCTAAAGCAATTCTGAACAATAAAAGAACAGCTTGGCATTGGCAGTAGGACAGACACATTGAATGATGGAATTGAATTAAAGACCCAGACATAAATTCAACACACGTGTACACCTGATTTCTGAGAAGGAAATTAAGAAATACAAAATGGAAAAAAAAGATAGCACCTTCAACAAATGGTGCCTGTTAAACTGAATTTCTGCATGTAGAAGAATTCAGATAGATTCACCTATTGGTGAAATTATTAAGGCCACTCCACGTAGTTAAAAGGAGATTTATTTAATGGCGTAACTTACAAATTAAGGGATAGGTAGGTCGCGGAGTCTGGGGAAGGTGTATCGCAGTCCAGCGGTGTTCTCTGGAGCTCTGTTTGGTACACCTCTCCAGTCCAGGGTCCCGCAACATTCACCCTGTACAAAACTCAAATCAAAGTAGGTCAAAGACCCCAACATAAAACCAGATACACTGAAAATGATTCAAGACAAAGTGGGGAAAAGCCTTGAATGCACTGGCACAGGAGACAACTTTCTGAACAGAACACCAAGAGTGCAGGTACTAAGATCAACAATTAGTAAATGAGACCTTAAGAGATTGTAAAGCTTCTCTAAGGCAAAGAACAGTCAATCAAAAAGACTGCTTAGGTAATGGTGAAAGATTTTTAACAATTCCACACCCAATAGATGCCAAATATGCAAAATATGTAAAGAACTCAAAAACTAGATGTTGAATGCTGTGGAATAATCCTTCTGTACACTGTGAATACCTATTACTCTCATTGATTAATAAAGAAGTGACTGACCTATAGTTGGGCAGGAAGAGAGTGGGTGGGAGAGCCAGACTAGGAGAATTCTGGAAAAAACAAGGGCAGTCATAGGACTCACCAGCTAGACAGGAAGACATGCCAGATAGGTAAATGCCACGAGACTCGGGGCAAGCAGCACATAGGTTAATTGAAATGAGTTAATTTAAGTTGTAAGAGCTAGTTAATAGTAAGTCTAAGCTACTGGCTGGGAATTTGTAATTAATATAAGCCTCAGTGTGTTTATTTTGGCAGCTGCCGGCAGGAAGGAAACGTCTGCCTACAGTTGAAAATCTGAATAATTCAAATAAAAAAATGGGGCACAGATCTAAGCAGAGAATTCTCAACAGAGGAATCTCAAATAGCTGAGAAATGTTTCAAGAAATGTTCAACACACTTAGCCACCATGGAAATCCAAATCAAAACTACTTTTAGATTCCATCTTACACCAGTCAGAAAGCCTAATATCAAAAACCCCAGTTACAACTAATGCTAGTGAAGATGTGGAGCAAGAGGAACACACCTCCACTGCTTGTAGAAGTGCAAACTAATACTGCCACTATAGAAATCAATATCATGGTTCCTCGGAAAACTGGGAATCTATCTACCTCAAGATCCAGCTATACCACTTTTGGGCATATACCCAAAGGATGTTCCATCCTACAACACAGATTTTTGCTTAACTATATTCACTGAGTTTCTATTCATAATAGCCAGAACTGGAAATAGCCAATATGTCTCTGAACTGAAGAATGTATAAGGGAAATGTGGTACATTTATACAATATAATATTACTCAATTCTTAAAACAATGACATCATGAAAAAATTGATTACCTCACTACTCAATGCTAATATCTGTTGCACAAATCCTAAATGGTCTTACAATGAAAATCCAGGGCCAGATATTGGGGTAAATGCTGAAAGACCAGAGGAAACAAGCCACAACCACTTCTCACCTCACCAATCCTGTTTCCATGAATCCTCAGACTGAATGTTCCTGAGTCCTCAGCCAAAAGGATTTTTTGTTCCTGTCTCCTCACACCTTATATTCCTTTCTCTGCCCAGTCACTTCACTTCCTATCTCAACCTTCATAGTGCTGGGATTAATAGTGTGTGTGCTTCCCAAACACTGGGGTTAAAGGTATGTACCACCACTGCCTGGCTCTGTTTCTCTGCTAGACTGGATCAATCTCATGTAGTCCAGTGTGGCCTTGAACTCACAGAGATCTAGGCAGATCTCTGCCTCCTGAGTGCTAGGATTAAAGGTGTGCGCCACCACTGCCTGACCTCTGTTTATTTAACTCTGTGGCTGGCTCTATCCTCTGATCTGCAGGCAAGCTTTATTTCTTAGATTACAAATATCACCACGAATATCAACTACTGTCAAAGCAGGAAAGTGAAACTCCTTCTTGCCCTTCCCTTTCTGTGCTGTGAATATATTTGCTCTATAGTTCATCAGTGAACTCAATTCTTACACAGATCCCTCTTCAATTTAAGTTCCTAATAAAAGTCAGAAAGATTGGAGGACACTCATTCACTGTTTTATTCCTCATTTTCACAGACCAGTAGAGGACCAGCCTGGAAGTAATTACAGGACTGTCTTCCCAGGACTAGGCAGGAGAGTCAGAATTAAATTTTTAAAGCAATTCCGTCAATTACATTGTGTAATGCAAGCTTGAGCTACCAGAGACATTAACCTGAACCAGTAGTTCTCAAGCTTCATAACACTGTGACCCTTTAATATAGTTCTTCACATTGTGGTGACCCCATTAATCATAGAATTATTTTCACTACTACTTCATAACTATAATTTTGCTACTGTTATGAATCAATATAAATATCTATGCTTTCTGATGGTCTTAGGCTATCTTGAGATTGGGTTGTTTGACACACACATTCCCCCCACTGGCCCCCCACCCCAAGGGAGGCATGACCCACCAGGTAGAGGACTTTAAAATGGTAAAAATTATTAAAAGAACAATAGGATATACTGATGTTGAAAGACTAGTAGCTTCCCTGGTAGAGTGAATGCCTTTAATAAGACTTTGTATGACTTTGTCCTGTGTAAAATGTTAGCTGCTGAATGCTCTAAACTGACCCAAATTTACAGCCAATGGCCTATGTCTCAAACCTCTAAGCTGATTTAACTGTGTCAACCAGAATTGCACATAGGAGAATTCCCCTAGTTGGAATCTGAACACTCACTAGTTCAAGCTATTCCCTCTAAACTGTACACCCACCAAGTCTGTCTTTCTTTATTCACATGAAGGAATTAATACATGCTGGGAAATTACACAGAAAGTCACTCACCCTGCCCCACATGTCCTTCTTTATGATGGAGACCCCAGCAGTTTACTGCCTTCAACTTCAGTCCATGGTCTAGCTATTGTCTAGTCTGTTTCCTCCTGAAGTGTACACAGTACACTGTTCCCCCTCTTCTGGTCTTAATGAAGAAGCCATGTTCCACATGCAAATCTGTAGCATGAATTGTTAGAAGGTCTTAACAAGAAAAACAAACCTAGAGCCAGGTAGTGGAGTGAAAATTGGAAGATCAGAGAAGCAGAACAAACCACAGCTTCCTCACCTCACCAGTTCCTCAGCTGATCCTGTTTCCTCAGACTGGAAGCTTCTGAGTCCTCATCCAGAATGAATCTCAGCTGAACTGCTGCTCAAAAGCCTAAAAACTTAACCAGGCTAGTTTTTATACCTTTCTGCTTCCTGTCATCACTTCCTGGGATTAAAGGCTCTTGTTACCATGCCTGGCTGTTTCCAGTGTGGCCTTGAACTCACAGAGATCCAGATGGATTTCTGCCTCTGGAATGCTAGGATTAAAGGTGTGTATGCCTCTATATCTAGTGGCTGTTCTGTTCTCTGTCCCCAGATAAGTTTATTAGGGTGCACAATATTTTGGGGAACACAATATCACCACACAAATCCTTTTTCTGTTACTGCAATGGACAGTCCACTATGTGACTCAAACTGGTAATTGCAGAACTCTGTGGTGCTACAGACCTATAATCCAATAATTTAGGGTGTTTAGTCAGGCAGATAACAAGGGCAATGCCTATGGGACTACAGACAGGGTTAAAGCCCACCTCAATCAACACAGGAAACACTGTCTCAAAACTACTTTTCAAAAAGGCTGAGAATGTACTGTTGTAGAATTAATATACCTTCATGGTACATTAGGACTTAATGTTGGTTGTGACCCTGTAATGGCCTCTTGAGCAGCACCTTAGAGGCCTGTTCTTTGAGGGGGTGTGGACATTTGGCTTCTAGTAAATCAGTGTTGTCTGCTTTGTTATGTAGCTTAATGGCTGCTTAAACCTGGTGAACAAATATTTATAACATCACACTAATCTCTAACAGGCATGGTTAGCATACTACTCAAATCTCTTTGAGGTCTTTGGGAGGCTAAATTCTACTTTGTGTGATTTAATGTTTCCTAAGATATGATAAATCCTTATACCATCAATTCTACTCTTCTACATCACAGTTTAGCAGTGGAGTGCTACTCTACACATGAGATATTGTTTACAAGCTCCACAAAATTAACTCCAGTGGGATTCTAAACCTAAATGTTAAATGTTAAAAGTTGAGAACTTCTGGAAGATAATAGAGACCAGGGCTCTCTGAGTTTGGCAAATCTGTCTTCCATAATGACAATACAAGCACTACAGGCACCAACATTTCACAATGATGTCAAAAACAAGGATATTTCTAAGCAAAGTCCTGTTTCCCATGCTTTGTGCAGGTGTTCTGCACAGATGTAGCCCATAGAGTGAAGTTATTCAGAGGCTGCTGTCCTGGCCCAGGGAGTTGCTAGGACCACACAGGCCATGCAGGAGATGCAGTACACACAGGACCAGGCAGAATACTCCAAACTCTGTCTTGCCACTGGCTTCCACCTAGCTGGGAGAGGAACCACCACACTGGCTCCTGAAGCTAAACTGGCCACTCCTTCCAGTCTGGGGACAGGGGAACTTCATTCACCATGGCTGGCCACTCCTTTCCATCTGTGGACAGCAGCCTCTCACTCACCATGGGAAGCTGCTGGGCTCACCCATACTCTACCCACAGCAGAGCCTAGGGCCAAGCACACACAAACCAACTTTGACTGCTCAGCAGAGGAGTTAAGCCAGAAGCCTGCCTCCTGGAAGAGCCCTTCCAATGGACTGGGGGATCTTCTTATTCTCAAGGCCCTGATTAGCTAATGAGACCTGAGTAACATAACTGGGTGAGCTGAAGGGCACAGCACAGTGTTTCTGATCCCTGGCCACAGACCTATCCCAGATTGGCTGGAGATTTGTGCCAAATTCAATAGCAATCTCTTGTGAATGTAAAACAATGGATTTGGTTTTTAAAGGAAAAAAACAAATTCAGAAGGAGGCTAATCAGACAATGATGCACAACAGGAACACAAGGTAACTTAAGAACATTACAAAGTCCACAGTGGCCTTGGGACTGATAACCACAGCTCCATGTGTGGAAAACATTAGGTTCTCAGGATCTGAAATAACCACTCACCAAAGGCCTTGGCCCCAGACCTTTACCAGCCCTCCCAAGCATATTCCTGGATTTAGAAAAGGAACTCTGCTTCTTCCCTCTATAAAAGCTTCTTCTCTATACATCAAGGCCTTGGAGAAAACTCCCAAGGCCTAAGCACATTGAAAAATTCAGAGAGACCTAGTTTCTGATTCTCCACTTCACATTTGACATTTTGCTGTAAGATCCATTTGGAGTTAATTTGTGGAGGTTGTAAATGGCATTTCTTGTGTTGGGTAGTACTCCTCTACTAAGCTGTGATGTGGAAGAATTGAAAAGGTGATATAAAGGATTTGCCAATGCTTAAGAGATAGTAAGTCACAGAAAGTTTAACTAAAGACTACGGAAATTGGTAACAACCCAAGGGATCACATTCCACAGACATTAGATATGTCTACTTGAGGTGCTATTTAGATAACCAATCTCACTGATATTTTCTTCTTCATAAAATGATGTTTTGTGGATGTGAGCCATCAGACCTTGGCTCCAAATGATGCTAAATACCTTTTCTTTCCCTAAACAGAAGCAACATGGGAAGGGCATCATGGTGACTTTTGGCTAGTGAAACAACTATGAAAGGGTGTGAAAGCTGATTGTGGCTTCATCACTCTGGAGACCAACTCTAGAGGTCAAAGGGAAACATCTAATAGATGAGGGCTATTGTGTGAACATCAAGAATGTCTTACGGACTTTGGACAGTTTAATTCTTTCCAGACACCAGTAAAGGAATTCCTTTCCTGTCTATATCTGAGAGTTTGGACTTTACAAGAAGACCGGTGGAAGGGTATTCCAATAATGCCACCTGGCAACCCAAATACAGCTGGACAAAGCCAAATCAGTCATTGCTCCAACCCCATAACGTCAGTTAGGGTTACCCCTGCAGAGGGAGGTGAGATAAGAACTGGAGGTAAAATTCAACGAAGCAGTTTAGAGTAAAAAGACTCCAAAGAAAAGTAACCAGTTGCTTTCTTGAATAAAAGCCAGAAGTGTCACTGGGACTTTCAGCAGTTTCAAGTGTTTGGGAGTCCTGATCTCTAATGCTAAGTGATCCTAGGGGGCTAAGAATGAGGAAAGTTAAATGTAGCAAAGAAGACCTGTTAAGAGAAAAAGGAACCTGGTCAAGAAAATAGAATCTCTCTCCTGGGCACAGACCTAACATTTCAATGGGGACATGTCTAACTCCTGGCCAATGAACCTGATCTGTGGAGCCCAAGAAACAGCCTCTTGGGACATTTATAGATCACCTATAACTGATTACATATTGGTAATCCCAAATGTAGACAAAACTGGAAAATATTAAGGCTCTTTCCCACTCCTCACTTTCTGTACTGTGATCAGCCAGTAATGTATAGACAATGAATTCACATTCTTACACAAGAGCTTCTGCATAGCCACTACCAAATAAGAAATAGAACATTCATTTCTTTGTCTCTTTTTCTTTCTCAATAACCAGTCAAGGTCCAGCCTGGAATGACTAACAGATTTGGACTTGGAAGCAGGAAAAAAGAGGGTGGAAATGATGTAATTATAATCCCCAAAAAATATGTTAAAAGTTGAAACAGCCTTTATGACCATGTGCTCAAGAGAGTAGTGACTTGTATTGGAGCACACCAAGGAATACTCACACCATTTCTTTCAGGCTGTACAAATCTTAAACATGGAAAATAACAGTCCTGTTAGGCAGGGTCACACAATTTATCCAGATCTTCTATTTTGGTTGAACTAGAGGAAATACAGTAATTTGGTTTCATGAAAGTTCAATTCTTTATCCAGATTCTTGATTGCCTGGTCTGTGACCAGTCAAGACCCTTTTTGATCATCTAAGATTGATTAATTCAGTACTCATTGTTAATGTCAACTTCTGTCACAGCAGGAAAGCTTTTACCTCTTTCTTGCCCATCCCTTTCTTTGCTGTGACTACACTTGCTTTAAAGTTGTTCAGTAAATACAATTATTACACAGGTTCCTCTTCATTTATGCATTCCCAAAAAAAGCCAGAGAGATTGGAGGACTCTCATCCACCAGTATATTTTTCCTTCTCACTGACTAGTCAAGGCCCAGACTAGAAGGAGTGGCAGGATTGTCTTTGAAGCCCTTGGCAGCAGAGACAGTATTAAATGATCAAAGTGTGAAGCCAGCCTAAACTAATGGATAATCTTCTCTAAACAGAAATAACCAACAGCACCTGAGAAAAAAGGAAAGAAATTCTTAATAACTGGGAAACATTGGAGAATAAAACAAACAAGAAATTAGAGCATTGATGCATTTGAAGAAAATTTAAAAAGTGAAACCAATAACTGACACTCTCTGGTAGAGCAAATTGTATTAATAAAATACATTTTGGGGGCTGGAGAGATGGCTCAGTGGTTAAGAGCACCGACTGCTCTTCCAGAGGTCCTGAGTTCAATTCCCAGCACCCACATGGTGGCTCACAACCATCTGTAATGAGATCTGGCACCCTCTCCTGTATACATAATAAATAAATAAATCTTTTAAAAAAATACATTTTGACCTTACTTCTATGTGAAATGTTAGCTGCTGAGATCTATAACCGGAAACACCTACAGACAATGGCCTGTCTCAACCCTCTGACATGACAAATCTGCAAAGAAGAGCCACCTGCTTGGAAAGTGGATGTTCATTAACCTCCCAAAATTGTATACCCACCAATCTGGTCTACCTTCATTCACATGACATGAATTAATATATGATGAAAAATTACAAAATCACTAAACCTGCCACAATCAGGTCCTTTTCCATATCTGTAACTCCAGCAGCTGATTTCCTTATATTATTTACCCCATGCAGTATACACAATAAACTATTCATCCTATTCTGAAGGCAGAAGCCATGCTCCACACACAAATCCTTTTCCTGTGACTGCAATGGATAGTTGACTACAGGCCTCTAAGGGATAAAGGGCCCATTAAGAATTTAGTTGGTTTGCTCAAGAGCAAAGTAAGGTCATTGCCCTAGAGAGCAATAAGCTTGAACAAAGGCCACTTGAGTGAACATAGTAGAGCTTATGTCAGAAACATTTTCTAAAAGGTTGGATGTACAGCTATTCTAGAATTAATATGTCCTCCAAGGAGAATTCACTCCACATACTTAAATGATTAATAAACAAAAATCTCTTTAATAACAGCAGGAATCAAGCTTTGGATAATGTTCAAAGAGGAGCCAGCCTAGAACACATTTTACATTCCATATATGATATCATCACTATGTCTCTTTTAGTAGCAGGACCCAGGTTATAGTTTGAACAATTTAAATAAGGACAGGAGACTGCAAGTCTAGCCACTTTGACAGATGAAGATTTACAGAGAAATGTATCTATGTTTTAGATCATACATTATGATCTACAGTTAAAAGATGTATCAATACATTTAAAAGATGTATCATTGCCTTTAATTCTCACACATACAAAGGACAGAGAATACAAACACACAAAACATCAAAGAAAAGTCACATATTAGCACTGGGATGCTGTTCTTAGGTGAGCTATTTTAACTTCAGAATAAGGCTGCTTTTTGCCTCTGAGCATGCTCCTCAGAGGAAGTAGACAGCTGCTTCCATGCAGGACCTGAGAGAGTTCACTTTAACTAGCAATGCCTGCTGTCTGCCTAAGGGCTGTGACATCACTGTAGGAAATTGTGGAGGACCAGCCCCCACACTTATTTACCCCAGGGACTCTTGAGGAATGAAGGATAAGAGACTTAGTTAGATGCTGTGGGATGGTCTATATGTCAAATGTGTTCCTGATTGGTCAATAAATAAATCACTGATTGGCTCGTGGCCAGGCAGGAAGTATAGGCGGGACAAGGAGGAGAATAGAGCTGGGAAATGGAAGGCTGAGTCAGAGAGACACTGCCAGCCGCCATCAGGACAAGGAAGATGTAAAGTACTGGTAAGCCACAAGCCACGTGGCAAGGTACAGATTAATAGAAATGGATTAATTTAAGCTGTAAGAACAGTTAGCAAGAAGCCTGCCATGGCCATACAATTTAAAACTAATATAAGTCTCTGTGTTTACTTGGTTGGGTCTGAGCGGTTGTGGGACTGGCGGGTGGCAGAGATTTGTCCTGACTGTGGGCCAGGCAGGAAAACTCAAGCTACAAATGGCGTCCAACGTGGTGGCAAGAGTTTCTACCTAAAAATTGAGAAAAAAGATTCTAAAACGGAGCTAAAAACAGCTTCCTAATTGTCTCTCTCAAATGAGCGGCAGCTGCCGGTTTGAGCTACTATGGCGGGTTCCTAGCATGTGTGCATGCTCGACCTGCAGTATGGCGGGAATGAGGCCTCTGCAAGTGGCACATTAAGCTGTGTGGTGGATTTAGCCTTTGCTAGTACAAAACAAAAAAAAAAAAAAAGAAAAGAAAAGAGGTTTCTGGGCTACATGTTGCTTTGATAGAAGCATAGACCCACTATTTCTGAGAGTTGATGGCTCCCAGAGCTGGCGGAAAACGTATCACCGCCATGTTGGGAAGCTGAAGTGGGCAGAGCCAGCAGCCATAGTGCCAGTGCCCTTTCAGGCTTAGAAGGCTGCAGTTTAAAACAATGGGCTCAAACTAATATAAAAAAATAAGCCACGTAAAGATGGCTACCACACAGAGAATCTGGATTATGTTCTCTTTGATATTCATAACTGAAGAAAAACATTTGATTACAAAAGCTGTTGAGTTATGCCAAAATGTATATTTTAAAGGTACCTTGACTTCAAAATTTGGATATAAGGATATGTTGCTTTGGAAAGGAGACTCTGCTTTTCTTCCCACAGAAAGCCAAAGGCTATGGATTTGTTCCAGATTAAGATACATCAGGTTTGACCAGCCAAGACCCCCTGAAAGGTCTCCGATGACACCAAGGACCAGATGATCCAACATCCAGAACTGTTTCAAGGCAACTGGCTCAGACGATACACCCTCATGGACTACTCCATAATCCTAAAATATTCTTTGTGTCCCCATAAGATACAGCGCCCCCCTCCAGCAGGAAGTAGTATCGAAGCTACGCCCAAATTCCCAAATATACCAAGCTGACTTTGGAGATGTGTAAAGGTTAAAACCTTCCTTTTTAAGAAAAGAAAAGGGGAAGTGCTGTGGGATGGTCTATATGTCAAATGTGTTCCTGATTGGTCAATAAATAAATCACTGATTGGCTCGTGGCCAGGCAGGAAGTATAGGCAGGACAAGGAGGAGAATAGAGCTGGGAAATGGAAGGCTGAGTCAGAGAGACACTGCCAGCCGCCATCAGGACAAGGAAGATGTAAAGTACTGGTAAGCCACAAGCCACGTGGCAAGGTACAGATTAATAGAAATGGATTAATTTAAGCTGTAAGAACAGTTAGCAAGAAGCCTGCCACGGCCATACAATTTAAAACTAATATAAGTCTCTGTGTTTACTTGGTTGGGTCTGAGCGGTTGTGGGACTGGCGGGTGGCAGAGATTTGTCCTGACTGTGGGCCAGGCAGGAAAACTCAAGCTACAAAAGCTAATATTATTTCCTTCTTGGGTCTCTGAGGGAGTTGAAGATTAGGTAGTTATAGTTGAAGGTTAGTTAGTTATAGTTGAAGATTAATTAGGATAGAAAGTGAATTAGATACATTTTGGACTTAACAAAATAGGATAGATAATGAAATTATTTTCTCTGAATTCATCAAATACAAATGGACTAGACATTGTTTAGACATTTATTACTTGTATATATTGTATATAGTCATTGTACTTTTGTATATAGTTTTTCTTTTGTTAGTTATAACTTTTTTCTTTTTTTTCTTTTAATTAAAATAGAAAAGGGGAAATGTGGTGGTATTTTACTTGTACTGAAATGTGATTTTAATTGTATGTTAATAAATAAAGATGTCTGGGGGTCAGAGCTATGAGAGCCATAGCAAGTGCATGGCGGCGGTGGCGCACGCCTTTAAGGACCTGGAGGGCGGTACATTCAGGCAGTGACGAGGCAGTCACATGTTTGGGTTTACAACCAATGAGAAGGCAGAACAGCTAGACTATATAAAGACACACACAGGAAGTAGGTCCCCTTTTTTCAGAGAGCTCTCTTGGCTGAAGAGGATCCCTGAATCAGGAAGGGTGAGGCTCTTAGCTCTAACCTCTTGGCTTTCTTCTCTGAATTGGCTCTGTGTTTCTTATTTTATAAGACCGTTGGTTACATCTACAGTTAGAAATAGAAAGGAGAGAGAAAACACAGGCTAGACTTGGGTGGGCCTGGATTCTTATCCACTGGCCCAGAACTTTATTCCAAAGGTCTATTTATAACAATGCCAAGGGGTGAATCAAAAGACCTTCCCCTTGCTAGTTACAGTAACCTGGCACCCAGGCCTGTGGTCCAATCAGCCTCTTATGCAGTTCTGCTAGGTACAGTCACTAAGAAACCTAGTAGGCTCCCACAGGAAATTCCAGAGAAAGTCACTCACCATGCCCCATCAGTCCTTCTTTGTAAAGGAGACCCCTGCAGTTCACTGCCTCCAAATTCACTCTCTGAGCTAGCTACTGTCTAGTCTGTTTCCCCCTATAGTGTACACAGTATACTGTTCCTCCTCTTCTGGTCTGAAGGGAGAAGCCATGCTGCACATGCAAATCCTTTTTCTGTTACTACAATGGACACCCACTATATGACTCAAACTGGTAATTTAGAACTCTAGTGTTTCAGACCTGTAAACCAAGAATTTAGGGTGGTTAGTCAGGAGGATAGCAAGAGCAATGCCCTATGGGGCTACAAACAGGGTTTAAGTCCACATCAATTGTTGCACTAATCCTAAATGGTCTTATAATAAAAACCCAGAGCCAAATATTGGGATAAATGCTGAAAGATCAGAGGAAACAAGCCACAGCCACTTCTCACCTTGCCAACTCCTCAGCCAATCCAGTCTCCAGGAATCCTCAGACTGAATGCTCCTGAGTCCTCAGCTGAAAGGCCTCCAGTCCCTGTCTCTGCCTTATATGCCTTTTTCCACCCAGCCATATCACTTCCTGTCTCAACCTTCCTAATACTGGGATTAATGCCATGTGTGCTTCCCAAATACTGGTAGCAAATGCATGAGATCTCAATTGCTGGGTTTAAAGACATGTGACTCCCAAGTACTGGGGTTAAAGGTGTATGCTACCACTGCCTGGCTATTTCTCTCCTAGATATGGCTTGAACTCACAGAAATCCAGACAATCTCTGACTCTGCTTCCCAAGTGCTAGAATTAAAGGTGTGTGCCATCACTGCCTGACCTTTCTGGCTAACTCTGTCCTCTGATCTTCAGGTGAATTTTATCTGTTCAAAATATCATCACACCCAATCATTATAGGAGACCTTGACTCAAAACTGCTTTTCAAAAAGGCTGGAGATGCAGCTGTTGTAGAATTATTAATACTTTCATGGCATACCAGAACCTAATGTTGGTTGTGACCCTGTAATGTTCCCTTGAGCAGCATGTTAGAGACCTTTGATGGGGTGGTGGGCCTTTTTGCTGGTTGTAAATCAGGGTTGTCTCACTTCTTATCAGAATATACCTTAACAGCTGATTAATCCTGGTGAACAAACATTTACATCCTATCACACTAATTCCTAACAGGCATGGTTAGCAAACTACTTATCTTTCGAGTATTTAGGATGCAGCTCTCCCTTGCCTAAATTCTACTTTGTGTGACTTAATGTCTCCTAAGAACTGGTAAATCCTTATATCATCAATTCTACTCTTCTACATCACAGTTTAGCAATGGAATGCTTCTCTGCACAGGAGATAGTGTTTACAAGCTCCACAGCATTAGTTCCAAATGAATTATAAGCCTAATTGTTAAATATTAAAAGTGTAGAACTTCTGAGAAGATATTAGAGAGACCATTACTTGCCGAGTTCGGTAAATCTGGTGATGTTTCTCCACACATGACAATATAAGCATTACAGGCACCAGAATTTCACAGTGTTATTAACAACAAGGATAGTTCTAAGCACAGATCTGCTCCCAATGCTCTGTGCAGATACAGCCATGGGTGTGAAGTTATTCAGAGGCTGCCAGCCCAGCCCAGAGACTGGCAAGGATTACATAGGACCACGCTGGACCAGGTAGGACCAGGTGGGAACATGCTGAACTCTGTCTGGAAGCTGGCTCCCACCCTGCCAGAGGAGAACCCATCAAACCAGCTCCCGAGCCTCAGCCGGCTGCTCCACCTACTCTGGGGACAGCAGCACCTCACTTACCATGTCTGGCCACTCCTCCCAACCTCGGGACAGCGGTCCCTCACTCATTTTGGCCCATCGCTCCTCTCCATCTGTGGAAAGCAACCCCTCGCTCACCATGGTGCTGCTGCTGAGCTGACTCCCTCTCTCCACAAAGGAGCCCAAGGCGCAGCACATGTGTCAACTTGTGACTTCCTCAGGAGAAGAGCTGAGCTAGAAGCCTGGCTCCCGGAAAAACCCACCCATCTGACTGGCGGGTCTGCCAAAGGCTCTGAATGGCTAGTGAGGCCTGAGTGACAGGACCAGGTGAGCAGAAGGGACACACCACAGTAGTTCCCAGCCATGGCTTCTAATCTAAGGACAGACCTATCCCAGATTGGCTGGAGATTTGTCCCAAATTCAACAGCAAGCCTCTTGTTAATGTAAATCAATGAGTTCAGTTTTAAAATAAAGTGTACAAATTCAGAAGGAGGCTAATCAGACAATGTTGCAAAAGAGGAACAAGGAGTAACTCAAGAACATTATAAACGAAGTCCACAGTAGTGTTGGGACTGAAAACCACAGCCCCTTGTGTGGAAAGTATTGGGTTCTTAGGATCTGAAGAAACCCTACCAAAAGGCCCTGGTCTCAGATTATTACCAGCTCTCCCAAGCATATTCCTGGTATTAGAGATGGAGCTCTGATTGTGATCTATACATCAGGGTCTTAGAGAAACCTCCCAAGGCCTAGGCAGGTTGGCAAACTTTGAGAGGCCTAGTTTTAAGTATCTTCTAGAAGTTCTGCATTTTGCATTTGACATTTAGGTGTAAGATCCATTTATCCATTTGGAGTTAATTTGTGGAGGTTGATAATGGCATCTCATGTACTGGGTAGCACTCCACTATTAAGCTGCAATGTAGAAGAGTAGAATTGGTGATATAAAGGATTTACCAGTGCTTAGGAAATACTAATTCACAGAAAGAAGAATTTAGCTAAGGGAGGGCTGCCTCTAAAATTTACCCCAAAGATAAACAGTATGTTAACCAGGGCTGTTAGAGATTTGGATGCTAGGATGAAAATGTTTATTCACCTTTTATGTGTACTGTTATTGGTCACATGACTAATAAAAACAGTGAATGGGATGCTCATCCATGAAGAGCATCCTCTGTATGAAGATCTCTCTATAGTAAGCTGGGGCATCATAGTTTTAAGAGGGATTTCTTAGTTATGTTGTACTGGATGCTGCAAACATCAATTTCATGATGTTTTGCTATGTATCTGCTGTTTCTTGATATTAACTACATACTCAAATTAGAATCCAAAAGCATGGTTATAGTATTGATGCCATGTATTATATGAAGACTGTCTTGTGTTTTCTCTAAGGTTTACTTTAACAGATTGTGCCTAGGAAATATTAATTTATTACATAATCTTTTGATTTGTTTTGTTTGTTTTTGAGACAGGGTTTCTCTGTGTAGCTTTGCGCCTTTCCTGGAACTCACTCTGTAGCCCAGGCTGGCCTTGAACTCACAGAGATCTGCCTGGCTCTGCCTCCCGAGTGCTGGGATTAAAGGTGTGCGCCACCACTGCCTGGCTATTACATAATCTTATACACAGTTTGTATTCAACATTCTTTTAATTGTTGTTGCTCAGCACCATCTTAAGACAAACAATTGGCACTTTCCTATGATCAGCTGTGCTTGCTTACAAAGGATGACCACCACCAGATTTTGTTGACTGTTGATGTTCCATCATGGAAGGAGGTAACCCCTCCTTCTGAGTATACTGTCTGTTTTCCAGGCAACTGTATGCAATTCAGTCCTAATGACATGTGACCTTGTCGTTTGAGGGAGGAGTTATGAGTACATAGCCTGGGAAAGACTTGGGAGGAGGTAGATTGTGTGTATGCACCTATGAAAAAGCCAAATTTAAAAGTGAGAATTTACCTTGAGTGCTATCAGGCTTATTTTCTATGTCCACTAAGAAATGTAGTGTAATGGAGTGTATACAGGCAGTGGAAGAGTAGAGAGAAGGTGAGCTCCACATTTGAAACTACGGAAGAGCCACTGTACATACTGGGTGGAGATATTCCTGTGTGGCTGTGGTGATATTTTGTTGTACTCTAATAAAATTTACCTGAAGATCAGAGGACAGAGCTAGCCACAGAGTTAGCTACAGAGGTCAGGCAGTGGTGGCACACACCTTTAATCCTAGCACTCAGGAAGTAGAGATCCATCTGGATCTCTGTGAGTTCAAAGCCTGGACTGCACAAAAATTAATCCAGTTTAAAAGAGAAACACACAGACAGTGGTGGCACACACCTTTAATTCCAGCACTTGGGAGTCACATGCCTTTAACCCAGCACTAGGAAGGTTGAGACAAGAAGTGATATGGCAGGGAAGGGAAAGAAATATAAGGCAGGAGGAGACAGAGGTCAGGCCTTTTGGCTGTGGACTCAGGAGCATTTAGAGAGGATTCATGGAGTTGGCGAGGTGAGAAGTGGCTGTGGCTTGCTCCTTTGTCTCTCTGATCTTTCAGCATTTACCCCAATATCTGGCTCTGGGTTTTTAATTATAAGACCATTTAGGATTCATGCAATATGTGACTGCTTTAGGGTATCTTTTTTCTATTGCTGTGAAGACACCATGACTACAGCAACACTTTTAAAGGAAAACATTTTACTGGGGCTGGCTTACAGTTTCAGGGAGTTTAGTCCATTATCATCATGGCATATAACATGGTGCCATGCAGGCAGACATGGTGCTGGAGAAAGAGCTGAGAGTTCTACATCCACATCAGCAGGCAGCAGAAAGTGATTGTGACATACTTCCTCCAACAAAGCCACAACTACAACAAGGCCCCACCTCCTTTAGTGCCACTTCCCATGGGACTTTGGGGCCATTTTGATTCAAACCACTACAGTATCAAACCTTTGTAAGTATCTTTTCAACCATGTTTAGTAAGTAAGCTCAATAAACTCATTGGTTCCCCAAGATGGACTTTGGTGAAATTGTAGGCCCCTAGAAACACTTTGAGATTTGCATTACCATTGGGACTTGTGAGAATGGGATAAACAATGCTTCTTCCCCTTCCACCAGGGAGAAAATTCATACAACAGATTATAAACATATTTGTTAATATTCCTATGTCTCATGGTATTAGAAAAAGAAGCAATATATAAAAGAACATGTTAGAAGAATATAAATGTGGAAATGACCTTAAGCTTAGTTATATAAGAATGATGACACCTGGATGGCTCCAGAATAAGGAAGATTGGAAAGGTTTTGCAAGTTATAAAGGTCTGAGTAAGTTGTTTAAGGTAAATAAAGGGTAAGATTTAGAGATCATGTATTTACTAAAGTTGGGAAGATCAGACATCAACTACTTCAAGGACTGGCTAAAATGTATGTCAAACAAGTTTTATTGCATTACATCCGGCTATTGAAATATTATACAATAATTAAAAGTAACAAACTGGTGTAATAATGATCTTCTGGGTGTTTACTAATCATTCTTGGAGGTTATTCTAATATGGTTAGATGGATTAAAAGGGAGAATATTTCTCCTCTTTCCATACAAGGTCAATGAGGTCCCCTGGGAACAAAAGCCATTGATCATTAGTTGTCTTGTTCATGGAGTCTATGGAGACCCCACTCAATGAATTGGAAACATTAAGTCTACACAAGGAGGGTCAATGTGGGAAGGATTTCCTCAAGGCTTCAAAGGAAGCCACAGTATGTAAAAGAAAGCCTTTGACATCCTCACATTGATGGACAACTGGTAAAAGAAAGACCAGAAGATAGTCTGAGGTTCCTTTCAAGCACAAATGACCACTGAGGACTAGTTGCTCAACTGGCCTTGACAGCACAGAAAGAAAGATTAATTTTGGCCACCTGCATGGTTTTCAACACTAGGAAGACTAAGAGAATTGGTTTAACCAAAGACTAAGAGATTTAGTAACAACTCAAGGGATCACACTCCACAGACATTGGATGTAAGTCAACATGAGATGTTATTTAGACAACCAATCTCAATGATATTTTCTTCTTGATAAAAAGATGTTGCCCAGATGTAAGACATCAGACCTTGGGTCCCTGAGCACTGGCCCAGTCAAGGAAGATAGGTCCATGACTGCTGTAACCCCAAAATTAAATGATGCTAAATATCTCTTCTCTCCCTATCTAGAAGTCATATGGTAAGAGCATCATGCTGAATTTTGGCTGATGAAACAGCTATGAAAGGGCATGAAAACTGGTTGTGGTTTCATCACTCTGGAGACCAACTGTAGAGTATAAAGGGAAGCATCTAATAGATGGGTACTATTGTGAGATCATCAAGAATGTCTTACGGACTTTGGACATTTTAGTCCTTCCCAGACACCAGTAAAGGAATTCCTTTCCTATCTACATTTGAGAGTTTGGTTTTTATGAGAGGCCCTCTGGAAGGGTATCCCAATACTGCCACCTGATAATACAAATTCAGCTTGAAGAAACCAGATCAGTCACTGCCCCAATCCGATAATGGCAGTTAGGATTACCCCTCCAGAGGGAGGTGGGATAAACCTGGAGGTAGAAATCAACTAGACAATTTAGGGTGAAAACAAACCCCAAAGAAAAGTAACCAGTTGCTTTCTTGACTAATAGGCAGAAGTGTCACTTGGACTCTGAGCAGTTTCATCCTTGCCAGAGGCCAAAGATACCAAAAGTATTTTGGAAGTTCTGATCCCTGATGCTAAGTGATTCTATGGGCCTTAGGAAGGAGGAAAGTTAAAAGCAGTAATGAAAGCCTGTTAAAAAGGGCCCTTGGTCAAGAGAATAGAATCTCTGTCCTGGGTGCAGACCTAGGACTTAAATGGGGACAGGTCAATTGCTTGGCCAAGGAACCTGGTCTGGGGATCCCCAAAAATGGCCGCTCAGGACAATTATAGATCACCTATAATTGATTAACTGATTGTCCATTGGTAATCCCAACTGCAAACAAAACTGGAAAACTTTAAGGCACCTTCCCTCCCATACCTTTCTATACTATGACCATAACAGCTTATAATGTGTGAAATACGAATTTCCATTCTTATACAAGTAACTCTGCATTGCCACTCTCCAATAAAAACATGGGCTGCATTAGGACACTCATTCCCATCTCTTTCTCCTTCTCACTGACCAGTCAAGGCCCAGCCTGGAATGACTGACATACTTGGATTTGGAGATAGGAAAGAAATTGTGGAAATGACATAATCATAATCCCAAAACTTATTTGTAAAAGTTGAAACAGGTGTTATGACCATGTGCTCCAGAGAATAGAGATTCATATGAGAGCACACCAAAGATTATTCACACATTTTCTCTCAAGTTGTACATCTTAAACCTGGTAAATAATAGTCCTGTTAGGTAGAACCATATCATTTGCCCATATATTCTATTATGGTTGAACTAGATGCAACTACAGTAATTTGACTTCATGAAAGTTTCTTTTTCCAGATTCTTGATTTTCTGGTCTGTGGCCAGTCAGGACACTTATTGCTCATCTAAGATTGATTACTTCAGTACTCATTGCTACTGTCAACTACTATCACAGAAGGAAAGCTTTCACCTTCTTTCTTCCCCATTCCTTTCTATGCTGACTATATGTGATTAAAGTTGGTCAGTGAACTCAACTATTGCACAGGTCTGTATTCATTTGTATATTCCCAGTAAAAGCCAGAGAGATTGGAGAACATTAATAAACTGGTCTATTTTTCCTTCTCACTGACCAGTCAAGGCCCAACCTGGAAGGAGTTGCATGACTGTCTTCCCAGCACTGGGCAACAGAGGCAGGAATGGGTGTTTAAAGAAATTCTCAATTACATAGCATGAGACAAGCCTGGGCTATAAGGGACATTGCTCTAAACGTAAATAAATAACCAAAAGCACTTGAGAAAAAAGGAGAGAATCTATTAATGACCTAGAATCATTGGAGAACAGACACAAATAGAGATGATAGGAGTAATACATTAAAACAAAATGAAATTTAAAAAGTAATATCAAAATAGACTTTTTAAAAAGATAAATATAATTGAAAAAACATCTAACTATCCTGACCTTGAAAAAGAGCAGGTCATTCTTTGATAGAAAGAATGACATTAGTAAGGTACTGTTCAACCTTGTCCCTATGTGTAATTTTAGCTGCTGAGATCTGTAACCTCACACATACATCTACAGCCAATGGCCTGTGTCTCAACCCTCTGAGCTGACTTAACTGTGCCAACCAGTTAAGTCATATCTGCAAAGGAGTGCCCCAGTTTAGAAATTCAATATTCATTGGCTCAAGTTAACCTCCCCAAATTGTACACCAATCAATCTGGCCAGCTTACATTCACATGACATGAATTAATATATGTTGGTAAATTACAAAATCACTAACCCTGCCACAATCAGGTCCTTTTTCACAATGGTGACTCCAGCAGCTGAATGCCTATCCTGTTTCTTCCTGCAGTGTACACAAGAAATTATTCCTTCTATTCTGGTCTGACGGCAGAAGCCATGCTTCACACAAAAATCTTAATCCCATGACTGCAATGGATAGTTGACTACATGACTCAAATGGGTAATTTTAAAACTGAGTCATGGTACTGACCTTTAATTTAAGAATTTAGTTGGTTTAGCTGGGCAGTGATGGCACATGCCTTTAATCCCAGAACTTGGGAGGCAGAAGCAGGTAAATCTCTGTGAGTTCAAGGCCAGCCTGCTCTACAAAGTGAGTTCCAGAATAGGCTCCAAAGGTACACAGAAAAACCCTGTCTCAAAAAAAAAAAAACACAAGAAACAAACAAACAAACAAAAAACAACAACAACAAAAAACTTAGTTGCTTTAATCAAGAGGATAGTAAGGTCATTGCCCTAGGGAACAACAGATTGGGATCAAGGACACCTGATAAGAGTGACTGTTCCAGAAACATTCCAAAAAGCAGGAGGTACAGCTGTTCTACAATTAATTTTTGCCTTTATAGGGAGAAATCACTCTACATGCTTAAGAGATTAATAAACAAAAATCTGTTTAATAACAGCATGCATCCAACATTACATATATGATGTCATCCTTAAGTTTCTTTTAGGATCAGGCCCAAGGATATACTTTGAACAATTTAAATAGGGACGGGAGACTGCAAGTATAACTACTTAGACAGATGAAGATTTAGAGAGAAAAATCCATCTTTTAGATCATACATTAGGTTCTACATTTAAAAGGTGTATCAATACTTTTAGGAGATATATCATTGTCTTTCATTCTCACACACACAAAAGGCTAAGAACACAAATACAGAAAATATCAGAGAAAAGTCACTGTGGATGCTGTTCTTAGATGAACAGTCCTGCTGAGATATTCAAACCTCAGACAGAATAAGGCTGCTTTTGCCCCTGAGCATGCTGGCTCAGAGAAAGCAGACAGTTGGTTTCATGAAGGATCAGAAGGAGTTCATTTTAACTAGCCCTGCCAGCTGTCTATCTCAGGGATGTGACATCAAGATAGAGAATTTTCTTTAAGCTTTATTTTTGTTTTATGTATATGAGTATTTGCCTTCAAGCATCTGTGCACAGTACCTGTAGAGGCCAGAAGAGGGCACCAGATACCTGGGGACTGGAGTTAATGGAGATAGCTACCAGGTGGTTTCTGGGAATGGAACATGTGTCCTCTGTAACCACACCCAGTGCTCTTGACTGCTAAGCTATCACTCTAGCCACATTTTCATTTAAAATTTATTTGATATATTTTACTTAAAATATATTACATCACTTTCTGCCATCCTTGTCCTCTCTCAATCCCTTCTCAAATTCTTCCCTTCCAATTGCTTCCTTAAGTATGTGTGAATACATATGCACAAATATATGAATAAAAACTGCTAAGTCCATTTCTGTTGGTTGTGTCTATAGGGTTTCAGGGCTGACATTGCATTAGATATGCAACTAGGAAGCTCATCCCTGCTTGAGGCTAATTCTCTTATGTAGGAGAATTCCACTCTTCAATGAGCAACAAGAGTATGACCCCAAAGTTGCCTTGGACAGGAAACATTATCAAGAACAGAAAACTTGAGGTGGTAAATATCTCAGGTAATAATTGCTGGTGCTATGGTCCTGAAATTCTGGAGCTGCAAGGAAGACTATGTACACTGTCTTGAGCCAATCACAGTCTTCCTTAGTTCCATAGTCCCCCCCAACATGCCTCATTGGCCATTCTCATCTTGGATGAATTTGACATCCTAAAATTGTTGCCTACAAATTCTAAGTATCATGATTACAGGCCTGTGCTACCATGTTTGGCTTAGTTGTCTTCAACTTTATTAGTGAGGCATTAGAAAGATGGGATGAGTAAGATAAACAGTTACACTTAACTATATTCAAAAACTACTTATCTAGGTGGGCCTGGGTTTCAACAACTGTAAAATAAGGACAGAACTTTGCTCAGGTCCTTTGATGAGTTATAACAGACTCACTGATAATGAAAAATAATATTGTTCATAGTTGGAAGACAGTGGACTTTAATGCAGGAGGCCTACATTTGATGGGAGCCTTTTTCTGTTACTGGAGTTAGACAAGAGTCTGTGTCCTTGCTACCCTAACCAGCCAAGCTCACCCATACATCCTCAGTAAGTCAATTAAAAGAACTGAGTTATACAGTTATGATCTGGCTACCTATAGTATGGGACCTCTGGAGGCGTGGTAGGCAGACCTCTCTGATGTCCTAGGACAGCCTAGTCTATAGAGTGAGTTCCAGGCCACCAAGAGATTCATAGTAAAGTTATGCTTTAAAAAAAAAGAAAACAATAGAAAAGGGGGAAAGGAAATTATTAATGAAAGCATGATATTTATTTAGTTTGACTAATTTGGAACAGTGGTGAAGATATAAGGTAACTAATCCAATCTTGGGGTCCTAACAGGTTTTGATAGAAGGCAAAAGATATGCAAAACTAATTAATCTAATGAAGCCATATAATCAATTTTTTTCATCTGTAAAAACCTCCCTCATTCTCAGCTCCTGTCTCTCCAGAAAGGTGGTCAGATGAGGAGAAAATGTTTCTTCAGTACAGACATTCTCCATCTGAGGACTCAGTCTTTTCTCACAATGAATGGGGAAATTAGAATTCCATGGGGTCCACTGTTTCACAAGTTGTTAGCAAAAGGGAGAGATATAAATGTGTCTTTAGGCATATCCTTATTCCTACCAGGCAGGCGGTTTCCAAGGATTGACAGGGTGGGAACTGAGGAGCTTTTAGGTCCAAGTGGGGACTGCAAAGTGGAGACCTGCAGGGTACTATCACTGTCAGCTACATGTAGTGCCAAAAAAGGAAACTATGGAAGACCTGGAAGGCCTGATCATCACAGCTGAGTGGATACAAAGAGCACAGTAGGAGCCAGCTTATCCTCAGGTACACCCCAAGCATTGCTCTCTGGCCATTTGATCCTTTAGCTTTCACACCCAAAGCTCCCTCCCTAACAGTTCTTTCATACTCCATAGCTCTTTATAAATGCCTGATGGCCCCAGCCTTAGAGTGACTTCTGTTTAAGTCTCAGGATCTCCTGACAACCTTGATGTCATCTGGATTCACCACCACACCAGGTTTCTAACTGAGGCTTTTACAGGTGCCAGGGAAACAGAATAGCATCCCATACAGACAAGTCAGTCTTCATGCCTGCAAGTTCCTTTTCTCTCCTTACAGAAGGCATAAACCCTTCACCATATTGACTACCTTTATAGAGTTTCTCCAGTGTGACTTCTTTTGTGGCTGCAAGGATAATTGGCACATGTAAAAGCTTTACCACATTCATTACACTGTTGAATCTTTGTATCTGTATGAATTAATTTATAATTTGACCTAATTGTAAAGAGAAATCAGATCTTAAGGTTTTATCACTGTGTTTACACTCATGGTGTTCCCCTTCATTAGGGTTGTTTTGCATCTTTGAAGATACCTGTGATGGTAAGAGCTTTTATTACATGGCTCACCTTTGTAACATCTTTTTCCTATATTAGTTCTCTTCACATATTTGAAGAGAACTAGAAGAACTCAGAGCTTTACCACAAATACTGCATTCTTAAATTTTCCTATACTGTGAATCATGCTACATTTGAAAAGTAAACCAAGACAAACAGAAGTATTTATACATTGCTATTCTTACATGTTTTTCTGCAGTGTGAATTTGTTGATATATTTTCAATGAAGTCAGAAAGCCAAATAATTGTAAATTTATATCATATTGAACAAATCTAATCAAAGTGGAACTGCTAAGTATCTTCTAATTGTTCTGGGAGAAAGAGAGGTACATTGCTTCTTTCCATATCTCCATGTTCACATGGCTTGTATCTAGAATGACATATGAAATACCAATTAAAGGAAAATGAAAAATAATATTTTTCCATATTGAATTTACACAGTTTGTCTTTTCGTTCCTCATGGACCTGTGCTATAGGGATTAACATTTCTCCACAACATTCTTGACTAGTATAAACTTCCCTTCTCACCAAAATTAGCAAAGTCACAAGTATATGAGTAACACCAGTTTTGCTATGGACTATTTGCTTATTAGAAGGTTTTGGACATACACTTATCACATATTCAACATGTACACTTTTGGCAATATTTCAGTGGTATGAAACTAAACAGATTGTCAGTTCTACAGCATAGCTCTCATGTAGCTGTGATTCAAATGGTGATGTCTGTAAAGGCACTGTTTCCTTGTTTTCTTTCTTAGAGGAATGCCTTGTAAACACATATCAGCCACCTGACATTGAGGTACATGATTTTGGGGGAATTTAATAATCATCAATACACATTAAGCTGCGCTTATTTTATTTACACTGTTACTTTGCTTTAAATTTTCCAGGACACACTAAAATTTCTTCAGAGGCACATTTGTATCCATGTGCACATAAAAATTACCTTCCAAGTCTTCTAGAAATTTGACAACATTCCTCAATATTATGGTCTTCTCATTGTAGCCAAAAATATAGAACCAGAAAATGTATGATTTATTACTGGATGTTTTGCAATATTTAAATTACTATCTTCAGTGAACCTTAGATTCATGCTTGATTTATTCACATCATTCTTCTTCTTTCTCAATTGAAGTTACAGAAGAGCATCAATAACCAAGTAACAGTTGTCCCCCTCTTTTAAATTGTGAGGGAAAATTCAGTCTTACCTATAGCATGAGGTTCCTATAGGTCTCCAGCATCACATCTTTGTACAGACTCTTCTGGGAAGGGTCAAGCAAAGCCTATTCTTCCTAAGTGAAGTTGACATGCACATCTTCATAGGTCAATGCATTCTAAAATATCCCATACATGTGTACAGTAGAAAGTGTGATACTAACAGCATGTAGGTGTATAATTATACGCATATAATTCTGGTGCTAGCCACACTTATTCCATGACACAGAACTTCTAATGTAACCACCAAGTAATTTTAGAAGTAAACTGAACAGGAGGTTCCCATGTGTCATTTCTTGGCCCTTTGAATATATATAGCCTTGAAAGAGAAACATCAATTAACAAACATAAAGAGAGAGAAGCAAGCAGAACAATGGTACTGAGAATAAATCAGAGAAGTTGTATGAACAATTAATTACTAACTAGAAAAGAGATGGGCAAGCTGGGTGTAATGGCTCATGACTTTAATCCCTGTACTCAGGAGGCAAAGGAAGGTGAATTTAATTGAGTCAGATGCCAGTCTGGTCTATGTAGTGAGCTCCAGGACAGTCATAGTTATATATTAATAGGACCCTGTCTCCCCCACAAAAATCAATCAAACAAACAAAAACAGTAGAAAGAAATCAGATTTTTTTTTACTGAAGTTCCTACAAAGACTTATGCATTTACTCTAGTTCTATATTTATCTTTTAGAAACCTGAAATGACCTAGTTTAAATTGTATCATGAATAAGATCTCAATAAAGGCAATGTGTGTTTAAACAGTTACAAATTGACAGAGAAAAATATTAGCAATGTAAATGTTTAAAAAATAACATAGGACAGGAGACATGGCTGTTAAGAGCTCTTGCTGGTCTTGCAGAGAGGTGGATTCAATTGCTAGTACTTACATGGGGGAATCACAACTATCCATTACTTCAAGTCCATGGGATCTGAGACCATCTTCTAACTAGTATGAGGACTAGGCACACATGTGGGGCATATTCATGCATAGAGGCAAATGAATCATATTCATTCAAAAGAATTAAAAATGAACACAATAGGTAGGAAGAATGTCACACACCAGCAATCCAATGACTCAGAAGGCTCAAACAGTACTAATGTCATGAATGCTGCCATCCTGGGAAAGAGAATGATACCCTTTGCCAAATTTCAAAATTCAAGATGTGGGTGAAGCTCAGCACAATGGCATATGCTTGACATATATAAAAAACTCCATTCTAGGTCTATCAGCCAATAATATAAAAAAAACCCAAACAAAAAATAAAAACAAACCAAACAAACAAACAAATAAAAAAAAACAGTCAAGCATGTGTGGCCCACCTTCAATCCCAGTACTCAGAATGCAGAATCATTTGGACCTCTGATTTTGAGGTCAGCCTGGTATACAGAGGTACTTTCTGGACAGCCAGGGCTATGAAGACAAACCTTGTCTTCAAAAAAGGAAATAGCTGGGCATTGGCTTTAATAATGGCCTTTAATCCTAGCACTCAGGAGACAAAGGCAGGTGGATCTCCATGAGTTTGAGGTCAGCCTGGTCTATAGAGTGAGTTCCAGGACAGGCTCCAAAGCTACACAGAAAAATCCTGTTTAAAAAAGAAAAGAAAAGAAATAAAAACAATTAAATTTAAAAAGCAAAATACAGGATAGCAAAATGTCTTAGAATTGAATAGCAATTGCTTCAATTTTATATTACGCAATGTAAAATTGTAATGGTGGAGAAGGCATAACAGAATGAGATGGAAGCTGGCTTATCAGTTTCAACAAAAAAAATAGTAGATACAATTAACAGAAAATGGGTAGATGCTATAGACAAGCATATCTTATCCCTAGTGAGGAATTTCATCAAGAAAGCCTCCTCCTACAAAAGGTTTCCCCAAACACCACAAGAAAACTGCCAAGGAGAGACAAATGTTCAAATACATCATCCCATCTGGAAGCTTTTCATCTAATCAAGTAAATTCTGACCCAGGTCACTATAGGTTCAAGGTCATCCCATGATGAAAATGCATTAAGCCTGACTTTAATGATCCTCATCGTCTGCAACAACCCCTACACAGTTCAAATGTCCAAAGTCTCTTCTGACACTCAAGACAATTGCTTGACTGTGATATCTTGTAAAACAAGAAAACAAGTTACATCTTTCCAACACACAATGGCACAGAATACAAATTTACATTCCAAAAGAGAGGAATGGGATATAATGAGGGAAGATGGGACCAAGGCAAGATTGAAACCCCGCAGGGCAACCATCAAATCCAGTAGCTCTGTGTCAGATACATAAGGCTTCAGTTTCAAAGAGTTTAGATGGCCCTATCCCTGCAATTTTTCATACATCTTTCTCTTTGGTTATATCCACTCACTATATGCAGTTCTCTGTGGCAGATTTCACATAGTTTAGTTATCTCAACCTTGAGGTCTCAAAATGCAACTTAGGATTTATCTTCACAGTTTCTTGCAATGAACTCTCAGTCTCCTCACTAAGACTCTGACTCTGCCAAACATAGATGGGTGCAACAGTGCTGAACTGAAATCACAGAGGAGGATGCCATGACTTTAAATTTTGCATCTTTCTTGTTTCCAGAACCAGCACATCATGGATGATACCCCTGAATTATGCTTCTAAGTTGTGATGGATCCTGCCACACATGGACCATATATTTAGCAGGCTCTATATGAAGCCTCCTGGGACTAGGAATCACTTTGCCTACTCCTTCCATAAATTGAAGGCTCAGCTGGATGGATTCTTACCCTTGGGGAATCTTTCTCAACTTTCAATACAGAGCAAGAACCTTTCCTTTAAAGATTAAACTCCCTGAAAATTCCTGTCTCTGTTTCACCACTGGACTGCCATCTGAAACCATCTACTACTGTTTTTCTCTATGAAACTGACTTTTCATTTCTTTCTGTCCCACTTATTTCTTTTCTACTGTAGAACTGAATGAATCATCAATAACAGCCATCCAACAAAATCAATACTTTGTCTCAGAAATCAGCAAACACTTACAAGCAGTAAGTCTTTTTCCATGCATAATCCAGCTTCCAGGAGTCAAAAGGAGAGATGAATGGATTCACCCAAAGAACAGTGATTGACAGTTTCATTTACAACACAAAGGAGAGTGATTAAAGGAGGTGGTGTCAACTGAAGGCTGAAATCAGTTGAGAGATACTGAAAAGGGAATTTATATCTTCAAACTATAATCTTAGAAGTGGCTAGAAAAAAATGTTAGGAGTCTACACTGTTAGTATAAATCATGAGTAAGATAAAACCACCTATATTTCTTTAGGGCTCTATCTTTCTCAGTATAACTCAGCTGCACCATTTTCTGGCAGGGCAGGGGCATCTAGACAGCTGTGTCACAGCATGATGTACCTGGTATGCAAAAAGCCCTTTTGTTCTAGATACCACTAAGGCTGTGTAAGAAAGGAGGGTCTGAGCTTAATTTGCACAAGAAACAAAGCTATGTACCTAACATCCACCTGGCCTAGGTGGTGTCTCCATATGGATATTTACCTTAATTCAGGAGACTAGCAGGTGGTCTGGAATGCTTATTCTGTCTGTCATTTATCCTTGGCTGTTTGAGAGGTATGTCAGATAAAATGCTTTTGTCCAGAGCTGGCCCTGGCCTTGGATGATAGCTAGAGGAGATATTTGATTCTAAATGATAAAAAAGAGAAACAAAAAGCCTAGAAGAAGGAAGCCTTGCCTGTGTGACTGTCATCCAAGTATCTTAATTGTATATGCCCAAAGAATGATCAATCCACACTGTTTAGAAGTTCTTAGAAAAAAGAATCAATTGGGAAATCTATAATAGTGCACACTGAAATTCATAGCAGAAAACAGCTGTTATATTCAAAAACCAAATAATACCAATACTCCTTGAGTCTTGGCTTTCTCTGGAAAAATCCTTGACTCTTCCAGCTAATAGCTTTGCCATAGTCAGCTGAATTCCTACTTCATATTTCTGCATTCTGTAGCACACATACCCACACAAACACTGACATCACATAATTATAATTAAAACTAATCTTAAAAAAAACAAATTTTCACTCATGACAGTTTTTCTCTTGTAAGCATTCATCCCTGTAACACAGGTGTTGAGGCATATAAAGGATTACTTACAGAGTTTTTTCTTAATCATGAATTGGTTCATGTAACAGAAAGCAAACATGTAAGATTGAAGTCAGAGAAATCAATCCTTCTCAGTTGTTGGTATCATTTGGAAAGATTTAGGAAATGCTGCCCTGCTGGAGGAAATATATCACTTGGGGTAGGCTTTGAGAATTTGCATCCACACACCATTTCCAGTTCTCACTCTCTGCTTCATGTTGCAGGTTAAGGATGTGAAATCCTAGACTCCTGCTTTAGCTGCCATGTCTGACACCTGTCATCATACCACTTTCATGGTGATCCTATATCCCTCTGAAACAAAGGGCCAAATTAAACTCTTTTATAAGTTGACATAGACATTATATCACAACACAGAAAAGGCACTAATACACATCCATAAAGTTTTACACTTGAACTAGCTGTTTCATGTAATTGAAGGTAAATATGAATTTCTCTAAGGGTTATCTTCTCATTTAAATTCATAGGGCTTTTTTCCCCATGAGTTTGAAGGTGCAAACAAAATAGACAGACATCATTATACTTGAAAAGGTTGTTGACACTGTAAAAATTTCTTCTCCAGAATAAATACACTTGTGTAACTGAATGTGTGTTGACTAAAGATCTTACCAAATACTTTATAGTAAGAAGATTTTCAGTAATAGTTTTTTCAGGTACTCAAAGACTATTGCAATATGCAAAGACTTTAACAGATTGATTGCACACAAAAATTATTACTATTATATAAAGTGCAAAACTTTATCACATTGACTATATTTAAATGGTTTCTCTGCAGTGTAATTTTTTCACATGACTTTGAATACTACTGAGACATGCAAAGGCTTTACCACACTGATTACATTCATAGGGTTTCTCTCCATTATGTGTCCTCTGATGCATTTGAAGATGACTATGCTGTGCAAAGGCTTTACCACACTGATTACATTCATAGGGTTTCTCTCCAGTATGTGTTCTTTGATGCATTTGAAGATGACTGCAACGTGCAAAGGCCTTACCACACTGATTACATTCATAGGGTTTCTCTCCACTATGTGTTCTTTCATGCCTCTGAAGAGTACTGAGATCTGCAAAGGCTTTACCACATTGATTGCATTCATAGGGTTTCTCTCCAGTATGTGTTCTTTCATGCCGTTGAAGACTTTTGTGAAATGCAAAGGCTTTACCACATTGATAACATTCATATGGTTTCTCTCCAGTATGTGTTCTTATGTGTATTCGGAAATAACTGTGACTTGCAAAAGCTTTACCACACTGATTACATTCATAGGGTTTCTCTCCAGTATGTGATCTTTGATGCATTTGAAGAGTACTAAGATGTGCATAGGCTTTACCACAATGATTGCATTCATAGGGTTTCTCTCCAGTGTGTGTTCTTTGATGCATTAGAAGTTGACTGTGCTGTGCAAAGGCTTTACCACACTGATTACATTCATAGGGTTTCTCTCCAGCATGTGCACTTTTATGCATTTGAAGAGTATTGAGATGTGCAAAGGCTTTACCACACTGATTACACTCATAGGGTTTCTCTCCAGTATGTGTTCTTCCATGTCTTTGAAGATGACCAAGATGTGAAAAGGCTTTACCACACTGATTACATTGATAGGGTTTCTCTCCAGTATGTGTTCTTTTATGCATTTGAAGATTACTGGGTTGTGCAAAGGCTTTACCACATTGATTACATTCATAGGGTTTCTCTCCAGTATGTGTTCTTTCATGTCGTTGAAGAGAAGTGTGAAATGCAAATGCTTTACCACACTGATTACATTCATAAGGTTTGTCTCCAGTATGTGTTCTTTTATGCATTAGAAGATTATTGTGACGTGCAAAGGCTTTACCACACTGATCACATTCATAGGGTTTGTCTCCAGTATGTGTTCTTTTATGCATTAGAAGATTATTGTGACGTGAAAATGCTTTATCACACTGATCACATTCATAGGGTTTCTCTCCAGTATGTATTCTTTTATGTATTTGGAAATAACTGTGACTTGCGAAGGCTTTACCACACTGATTACATTCATAAGGTTTCTCTCCAGTATGTGTTCTTTCTTTCCATTGAAGATGAGTGTCATATGCAAAGGCTTTAATGCATTGAGTATATGCAGAAGGTTTCTCTTCAGTTTTACTTCTTTCATGCCTGCAAGAATAATTGGCATATGTAAACACTTTACCACATCCACTACACTGTTGATTGTTTATAGCTGTATGAATTAATTTTACAATTTGGTCCAATTATAAAGAGGAATCAGATCTTAAGGTTTTATCACCGTGTTTACACTTGTGTTGTTCTCCTTCATTAAGGATTATTTTGCCTCTTCGAAGACACTTGTGATGTTAAGATCCTTTATTTTATGGTTCACATTTATAGCATCATTTTTCTATATGAGATTTTTCACATATTTGAAGAGAACTGGAAAAACTCAGAGATTTATCACCCTTATTATATCTATAAATTATCCTGTACTTTGAGTCACACTACATTTGCTAAGTGAACTAGGACAAACAGAAGTATTACACAATCCTAGTACTCATAGGGCTCTTCTGCAATGTGAGTTTCTTGATACATTAACAATGAAGCTGGAAAAACCAATTACTTGTATACTTGAATCAAATTCAACAAGAATACTCAGTGTGAGGACTGCTACATATCTTCTAATTGTTCAGAGAGAGAGGTTGTTATGACTTTCCATATCCCTATGCTCATAGGGCTTGTGTCCAGAATAACATATGATATACCTAGTAAAGGAAAAATAACAAATAAATAGTTTCCACACTGAATTCTCACAGTTTGACTTTTTGTTCCTCTTGGACTTGTGGTATAGGGATTAAGGTTAGTCCATGACAACTGCCCCTTGACTCTTGACTCTAACTGCCCCTCATCTCACTAAATTTAGCACAGTTGCAAAAATATAGGAGTTACACTAGCTTTACTATGAACTATTTGCTTATTAGAAAGTTTTGAAGCTATACTTATCACCTCTTCAATATGTATACCTTTTGTAATATGAATAGCATGAAATAAATTGACAGTTCTACAGCATAGCTCTCATGGCACTATGATTCAAATGGTGATATCTGTTAAAGGCATTTTTTTCTTTTCTTCTTTCTTAAAAGAATGCCTTGCAGATGCAATTCACCTACCTGAAACTGAGGTATATGGGTTTGTGAGAATTTAATAATCATCAATTCACTTTAAGCTGTGCTTATCTACACTGGTGCTTTTCTTTAAAACTTTCAGGAAATATTACAATTTCTTCAGAGGCACATTTGTATCATCTTGCACAAGAAAATTACCTTTCATGTCTTCTAGAACTTTGACAATGTTCTTCAATATTATGACAATGTTCTTCAATATTATGGTCTTCCCAATTATATCCTAAAATGTAGTACCAGAAAGTGTATGTTATATTATTGAAAATTGTGCAAAATTTTAATTTACAATCTTCAGTGAACTTCAGAAGCATAACTGATTTGTTCACCTCCTCCTCCTTTCTCAATTAAATTACAGAAGAGCATCAATAACCAAGAACAATTGTCCCTTATTCTGAAACCTGAAGGAAAATTCAGTCTTACCTATAGTAGTGAGGTTCCTATAGGTCTCTAGCATCACATCTTTGTAGAGATTCTTCTGGGAAGGATCCAGCAAAGTCCACTCTTCCCAAGTGAAGTCAACATGCACATCATTATAGATCACTGCATCCTAAAATGTGCCATACATTTATAAAACAAAAAGCATGGTACTGACAACACTGTAAGTGTATATGTCTTTGACAGTATAGTCATATAATTCTGGTGTCCCACACATTTATTCCATGACATGGACATTATAATGTAATCACCAAGTTGCTTTAGAAGGAAACTGAATAGGAGGGCCACCTCTGTCATTTCTGTACCCCTTGAATAGGATATCACCTTGCAAGAAAAATGACTATTAACAGAGAAAGAGAAGTAACAGTATAAAGTACACATGAGAGAAATTATATGAAAAACTACTAAATTTAAAAAATAAAAATAGGATGGACAAACTGGATGTATTGGCTCATACCTTTAATCTCAACACTCAGAAGGCAGAGGCATGTAAATCTGTCTCTGAGTTAAATGCCAGCCTAGTCTATTCAATCAGGTCCAGGATAGCCAGAAGTACATATTAAGACCATGCCTCCCATACAAAAATCAGTCAAACAAACAAAAAAGATTAAAAAAAAAAAAAACCTCAGAGGTTTTTACTGAAGTTCCTACAAAGAGTTATATATTCACTACAGTTTTGTATTTATCTTCCAGAAACTTGAAGTGCCCTAATTTAAACTGTAACATCAATAAGATTTTACTAAAGGCACTCACTGCATGTTTAAACAGTTACAAATGAGCAGATGAAAACAATAGCAATGTAAATGTTGCTCAAAAATAATCAACATGGGGCAGAAGAGATGACTCTGTAGTAAAGAGCTCTTGCTGGTCTTGCATATAGGTGGCTCAGTTACCAATACTTATCTGGGGGATTACAACTATCCATTATTCCAAATTCAGAGTTTCTGAGACCATCTTTTGATTGCTGTGAGAACCACATGGTACATATCCATGCATACAAGTAAAATACTCATATTCATTTAAAATTTTCAAAACAAACACAACAGGTGGTAAGAAGATCATTCACCTGTAATCCAATGACTCAGAAGGCTCAGGCAGTATTAATGGCATGAATACATGCCATCCTGGGAAACAGAATGATACCCTCTGCCAAATTTTAAATTTTAAGCTATGGGTGAAGCTCATAACAACAGCATATGTTTGACATGTACAAAAACCTACATTCCAGGCCCATCACCAAATAATATAAAAACAAAAAAAGCCAGAGATGTTGGCCCACCTATAATCCCAGGACTTGAGAGGCAGAGTCAGGGGGATCTCTGAGTTTGAGGCCAGTCTGGTGTACAGAGCTACTTTTAGGACAGCCAGGGCTACACAGACAAACCTTGTCTTCAAGAACAAACACACAAAAAATTAAAACAGTAGGCTATTAAACTGCCTTAGCACTGAATAGCATTTGCTACTTATATGTATCTTATATGATTTAGAGATAGAGTCTATAATGGTGGTAAAGGCATGACAGGACAAGAAGGAAGTCAGCTGATTAGTTTCAACCACAACCCAGTAGACACAAAGAAAAGGAAATGAGTTGAGGCTACAGAGACTCATATCATACCCCCAATAAGGAATTTCACCCAGAAAGGCTCCTCCTAGTAAAGGTTTCACAAACACACTAAAGAAAGCCACCAAGGAGAGACACATGTTCAAATACATCATCCTATCTGGGAGGTTTTTCATTCAATTAACTACATTCTGACCCAAGTCACTATAGACTCATGGTCATCCATGAAGAAAATGCATTCAGTCACTTCAATGATCCTCATAGTCTGCAACAGTTCTATTCTGACACTCAAGACAATCTCTTGACAGTGACATCTTGTAAAATCAGAAAACAAGTTACATTTTTCCAACATACAATGGCACATAATACCATTCACATTTCAAAAGAAAGAAATAGAGACATAGTAAGGGAAGATTGGACCAAGACCAGATTGAAACATAGCAGGATAGACATCAAATCCTGTAGCTCTGTCTCAGATTCATGGTGCTTCAGTTTCAAAGGGCTTATGTGGCCCTATCCCTGCAAATTCTCATACATCTCTTTCATTGGTTACTTCTATTTCCTATATGCAGCTAGGTTTCCATGAAAGATGTC